ATAAAAGAAATTAAAAAAAAATTGCGGTTTTATTATCTAGGTAATTTTATTTTCAATTAAAAAATGAGAGAAAAAAACAAGAAACAAAATTGAAAACCTGCGAGCAATCTATTCCTTTTTGTTACTGATTGATAACTAATTATGTTTTGATTAAACATTGACAGGTGGAAATGTAAACATACCTATGTGTGTACCTATATTTTCTAATTCTCTTTTATATTTCGATAATAGTTAAGATTTTTACAGCCTTGTAAAATACTATTTCTCTTAAAAAAAAAATCCAAAACAAAAGTAAATTAAAAACTTCCGTTCCTCTTTTATTTAATCAAGAATATGATTTCTATGAGTTCCTTAGATTTGGGTATATAAGAAAAATCTGTGATTAACAGATAACAAAGTAGTTTAAGTCGGCATTAAATCAAGATATAATATTGCATTTGCATATCGATGTTTTATTTTAAAAGTGATCCGAGACCTTTTTGAAATAAAAATCAAATAAATTGCACCGAAACGATGCAATTGAGTTGAAATTCAATTAAAAAAATTTGGTTAAGTAGCTACTTGCCGTATAATTTCTCTTATTCTACCCTATCTTGTAATATTTTGAATTTATGAAACAATTAGTTACTCTTGATTTAATGGTCATCGTGAAGTTAAATTAAAATTCTTTTCGATTTGCAATTGACTGTGTATGGTAGGTGTTGGATTCCAATGTATAAATTTTATATTTCATTCGGTATGGTTGTGATATCAGTAAAAATTACATTATCAGTAATTAAGTCACATTCTATATATGCATAGGTTTACCAGATGATGCAGTAACTGTAAATGCGCTGCTAGGTAACCATTATATTTTTTTCATCAAAAGATTTTGTCCGATATACCAATACTATGTTTGCTATACTTTTCATTTCTTGAAATAGTTGATTTGGCTTCGTGTCAGCTAACAACTTTTTAGTTCTTTTCTGGCTAATACAAGAATGTGCTACCTAATATTGTAATGATGTAGTTGTTTGTAAAGATAATATGACAGTATTTAATTTTTCATTATCAGATTAGATTCCACGTGCTATAGTATACAATAATCGGGTGAAATAAACTAAGCTTAATGTTATCTAGCTACAATCATAGGAAAGGCAGCATTTTTATTTGATGTGAGGCCCTTATTTCCGTTGTGTCTGCATGTGACTTATTTTCAGGGTTGTTATAATTAAGCTCGATTTGATTATAGGCTCCTTGAAACTAATACGTTGATATAATTGCTATCAAATTTTAATATTTAATTTATATTTTAATAAAAAAATTTGGTAAAAATGATATTTTTTTTTTATTGGTAAATTATTTTCATTTGGTAAAAGTTTAATAATTTGCTGCACTGTGTTTTAAAATGTAAATATTGTTAAATTAGAAAGTCTCGGGTTCGATGTCTGTTAGGATCGAAATTTATGAAAAGAGAATAAAGATGTTTTTTTTTTAAATTATTAATACATTAATATATATATATATATATATATATATATATATATAAATAAAGTGAAAAATTAAATTACATAAATATTTTGGGAAAGAAATTGTGCATATAGTATGGACTGCTCCTTATTTTTTATATAATTTAATTATTAATATATGTATGTATGTGTATATTTAATAACTTTCATATTATTAATATAATGTAAATGTATTTATTTGTTTTATATATCTATATATATGTACATATATAATTATATTTTTAAAATTTACCTCCCCAAAGCAGATTTTAACCCGGGACCTTCTGATGTCGAGTATTTGTCAGCAATTATATATAGACTTCAACGTCACTTAAATATAAACCTCAATTAGTTTTGTAAGTTTTAAATACAAAGAATATTTTTATGTAATATTTAACAATTATACTGTTAAATTCACTAGAAATAGAAACAAAAAAAAACAAAAACATAGCAAAAATTACAAAATCATTAAATTTTTACCAAAATTAAAAATTGATAAATAATTACTTTAGTGCGACAATAAATCTTTACCGACAATAAAAAATTATAAAATTTTGCCAAAATATTATTATTTGGTTCAATTGAGAATAACTTAACCAAATATGTTTGTCATTATTGCTAAAAAATTTGTTCAAGATTTACCAAAAAATCTTTTACTATTGCTTTTCGTTATTTTAATTACTGAGTTTTTTGTAAAAACATTTTTTTAGCAAATTTATTTTTTTTTTCATTTTTATCTATTTTTTTTTTACTAAAGACTTGGTTTTTCGAGTGTAGTTTGGTTTTAGCTTCGACTCTAATCCAGTTTTACAAGAAAAACGGATTTTAATGTTTTTGCCTTGGAATTCATTTTCGTGTCTGCCATTATTTTGCTACTAGTTGTAAGAAGAAATTGTCTTTAATTCTGAAATATGAAATGGGTTGTTAACACCTGTGATGTAAAAATATCTTATGTGTGTGTATATATGTATGAATGAATGTGCCGCCATATATTTCCCACTTTCGAAATATTATATGTAATATAATTTTCGAACAAATAATGTAGTAAAAATAATACTTTTTTTGTTTATAATTTCTTTAGTAGAGTCTTGTAAATGTAAACTAGTAAAATTATAATAATTGCACCGGTTGAATGCTTGCTCCGGATAATTTCTAAAGCCCGGATTTTCGGGAAAACAACTTTGAAATTTAAAGTTTAATTACAAAATGAAAACTTTGTAAACATTTTAATGAAATTGAATTCATATTAAATTAAATGAACATTACTATTTCCGATTAAATCTTTAAAATTTTAAGAAATCATAACCGTGAGCACCAGTTTCTTACGTCATTGAGCTTACCAGGTAGGTGACGAGCCTACCGTAGTTTTATATCAAATATTTAAGGTTATTGATATTTACTATTTTATTTTGCTGTTATTTTTAATATTGAATTATATTAAAATATGGCAATTATTAATATTAATTTTTTTTTTTACTTTTTTTATATGTAATGTATATAAAGCTATATAATATTGAATATAATATTAATATTGAATAGTGACCAGTCAAGTCACTATTAAAATCGGGCTTTGAACCCGAGACCCTTCTGCTGAAGGTCCAGTGCAATAACCATTACATTAAGAATTACTTAAAATCTAAAATAAATATGCCCTTAGAAATAGAGAAACGAAGAATATCCCCAGAAATAGAGGAAAAACTATATGATGGGCGGGTGACTGCGAATAGTTAATCCAATGATTTACAAAACTGAAGTATAACTCTATACTAAAAACTTAAATGTTCGGTTATTGATTCAAAATTAATTCCGAATTTCGAAAAATTTTAAATTATTCGAAACAATCATTTTGTATTTAAATCTCGAATTGAAAACAATTAAATAGCCATACAAGGCATTGAAACGTTATGAAAATTTCTTACTTTAATACATACATACTTGCACAGTTCATTCCCTGCTACAAAAAAAAAGCAAAACAAAAAAAATATAAGAAACAAAACGCTGATTACAAAAAAAAAAAAATTGCAAATTTAGTTAATTCTATGCAAGAGCTCTGATGTGAATGAGGGTGGAATGATGAAAATTTTTGCACCTTCTTGCAACATAACCGATCGATGTGGACATAATGTGAAGAATTAAAAGAAAGAATAAAGAAAAATAACAAAAAAAAAAAAATAAAGGAAAAAAGTTAAAATAGAAAAAATGAAAAATTTAATGTATAAAATTAAAATTATAACTGTAAAGGATGGATGGCGTGCAGTTTTTTCACTGCATTTTTGTTTTATTACACATTCACTTTTCCGTGCAATTCAAATACCTATTTACATTTATATGTATACATAAATATTATGGGAAATTATAATAATTTATGTATACACATTCGAATTATATGCAAATAGAAACATAGGCATTTCACATAATCATACATACATACATACATATATAATGTATTAATATGCATAATATTTTTTTTTGTGAGCCACTTCGAACCTATAATGCTATGCTCCACCGTTATTTCTCTTTATTCCTATATTACTTGTTTTCCTTTTATTTTCCTTTTTTTTTGTTTTTTGAAAACCTTCAGCTGTTTGTATGTATGTATGTATACGAACCTCGAGAGCTATTTGAATATGTGATTTTTTTGCCGCCTCTTTGAATCTTTACGGTTTTTTTTTGTTTTTTCCATCATTTTATTTAATTTTTTTTCTGCTTTTTCCTCTTATAATTATTTATATGCAAAAAAAAAAAAAAAAAAAATTGTGGATAAAGGACTTTTTATTTTATTTATTATTATTTTTTTTTTTTTTTTTTTGTCAAAAACACTGTGAGAATTGTTGCAAGATTTCGTTTTTGTTTATATATGGGTTTTGTTAAAGCGCAAAGTGGCTCTATAATGTTGCAGTACATACGTATATATATATACATACATATATATAACAATACATTAAAGTTATGCATACAATATGAACGGTATTTGAATTGTGTACGTCATACCTTTATACAGGTGTGTATATAGTATATATTGTAGCATATTGTGCTAAGAATTTTTTTTTTTTCATTGTTTTATGAATTGTAACGCTTATGTATGTATATAGGTGAGGTGAGTTTAAGTGCCTCTAAAATATCTAATGTTAAAGAAATGCATTTTCTTGGAAAATTTGTGTAATAACAAAAGGCAAGTTATTTCTCTTTTACAATAGCGGTACATACATACATATACATATATGAAAAATAAAAATGAGAATAAAGAAATGAAACAAACATACATAACAAAGGTATAAAAATAAAATAATAAAAAAAAATTACAAGAAAAAATCTTGGCCTTTGTTTTTTGTTACGGAAAAACCTCTAAATTAAATCCTAGAATTCCATTTAGGCCATTAGCATTTCTTTATTTTATGTTTTGTTTATTTTTTTTCCTTTTTAATTTTTTTTTTTATACATACATATAATATGAATTTTTGTTTTTGTATTTGTTTAACATTTTAATTCCTTTTTTTTTTATTATACTTTTAGATTATCGATCAAATAATTATGGTTACCAACAGGGTGGAAGAAACAACTATAATCCAGCAACTAATAATTATGGTAATAATTATGGTAACAATAACAGAAATAATAGTAATAATTCAAATACTGCAAATACTGGTTATGGTAATAACCATAATAACAATAATAATAATAATAATGCTGGCAGTAGTGGTATGTGGGTACAAGGTGGTGCAAATAAATCTGGTAACAACAACAACAATAATAATAGATCACAACAGCCATCAACATATGGTGAATATAGAAGACAAAATCCAAATTCACAATATGATTCTGGAAATAATCGTAATTTCAATCAAAATTCAAGAGGCGGATCTGGAAATTTTGGTAATTTTAATCAAAATCAAAATCGTGGTGGATCAGGAAATTATGGTTCATATGAAAACAGAAGAAGATATTAAGCGTCTTATAATTATATAAATATTAATATATATATTTATATAAAAAAAAAAATCAGACAAACATGTATGTAATAATTTACAAATCAAAGTATCAACAACAAAAAAAAGAACAGAAAAAAAAGTGCAAAGATTTTATATTATCATAATTGAGTTGTAATTATCGTAGTTTTTAATTTTTTTTTTTTTTTTTTGATTTTAAAAAGAAGAAACTTTTAATTTTTATTATTCAGTACATATTCAATTGTGAAATAAATGAAACCAAATTCTTTGGCTTTTTAATAATATTCTTTGTATACTATTTTATCATCATTATTTAACAAATAAAATATCAAGTAAGTTGTAGTTTATTTAGTCCTTTCCCAATTTTATTAAATCAAGAAATTATAATGTTATGGATCAATTACACGCAACGTTCATTTCAAATTTATACCAAATTTCTATTAAGTATAATATGGGGGTTTTCGTTTATGCACACTACGCTGAAAGTCCTACATTAGAACTAAAATTTCTAAGCCGCAGCGGTAAACAGTATGCGAAAACTTCAGCTAAGTTCTTTTCATTTACTACAAATTCTGAAACTTCTAAATAATCATTCGTTAGAAAATAACAGAAATGACATTGTTTATGAAATAGTATCGCAATACTTTTCGCCCTCCAATTCACTGCAAAATATGGAAATTTTAACAAGATTTGAAGACTTAAAGAAAACTTACTTTAATAATCCTTCAATATCTGAATCTGTCATTTTAAAATTTAAAATTTTTTTGAATTTAAAATTTGAAATAAAAATGAAGTTTCAGGAGGCAGCGACAAAATTTAAATTAGAAGTCTGCGCTACATTTCTGACATTTCTTTATTAAAGATTGAATTTTCGAAAGCACTTTATTGCAGCCAGTAATTTCCAAACGATCTATATTTTTAGTGTATGTAGCGCGAATTTTCAAACGTGTTACAAGCTAGAACTATTCTAGAGCTGAATAAACGAAATCCCCCTATGTATACTCTTGTAGGTATTGTAATGTTTTATCAGTTCTGCAAAATTTTTAATATTGACAAATTATGTGAGTCTTATTTTTCGGCAAATGATTTTCTGACAGACTTTTTATACCAAATCAAATGAATTTTTTTTTTTGAAAACTTAAAAATTAAAAAAACTTGGAATTAGTTTATAATTTCACGTTGTATAAAAATATTGCTGCGGTGTTGCTATAATATTTCAATAATTATGTTGCGATGGCCTATTATTGAATTTTATGGCAATATGTTAAATTTGTACATATTAAATATTTTTATTTTGGTTTAAATGGCTGAATTTACAATTTGTTTTTTAATTAACGTTATTGTTTTTTTGAATAATGCTATTATTAATTAAAAAAAAAAAGAAAGTTTAGATATGAAAATTTGAAAAAATAATGAAAGCAAAATAAAATTTTGTGTTGCGAATTTTTACTAAGCATTGTCGGAATGTTAAGCTATTGTTGAGAAATTTCGTGATTACTTTTTGATTATATTGCCAGGAACACTGCTGCAATATCTTTGTAGTGTTTACTTATTAATTTCATGGAATAAAATTTCAAAATTTATAATGAATAGTACTTAAAGTTTTTTTTTATCGACAACATTAAATTAAATGTAATAAAAATATTCGTGTATAAATAAAATACAAAAGTTATAATATAAATATAAAGTTATAATACAAACTTTAATTGTTTAAGGCCTGAAAGTAAAAGAAGAATAAGATGTGTTAGTAAAATTATTTCGGATTATCAAAACATAGAGGGCTATATGAAATAACATTAAGAATTTCGAAAAATCATTCAATGAATGTGCAATGCGCATTACATTAAAAATTTCTTTTTCAATATGTTAGAAAATATTTTAATCATAATTATCTGTTATAGTGTTAGATATGAAAATAATAGCAAATATTTAATAATTTTATTAAAATTGTTTACTGTACTCAAACATTTTAATGCATACTTTTTTAAAAATTTTTAAATCCAATGCATTTGTTCCCTGTTAATATTTGAAATGAAAATTATTTTAAAATTTTAACCTAAACCTAAAAAATCTTTGATGGTTTCCAATAGTAAAAAAAAAAAAACTTTTTAATGCATACCAATTGATTAGACTCAAATTAGACCGGAAATTTTAAATTTACAAATTATTGAATCACAAAAGTTAAATATGTAATTTCATTTTAAGAATAATCAGAAATTGCAGATTAAATTTACATAGCTCTGCATTTATATACTTACCACTTATTTACATATATGTAAACATTTATTAAACTTTATGTATATACATACTTACGATAAATATTAACAATAAAATATTTGAACAATAATTCTTTACATATTGCGTTAACTATAACCCCTTTAATTTTTCATAATATGACGGCTGAAAATCACGAACATGAAGCAAAAAAAGTATTGGCTGTTGTTTTTTTTTTCTTGGAGGTTCCGTTATATTTTCTTTTATTTTTTAAAATGTATAACACATTTTTGAAATTAAATTTATAAAAAAATTAAAACGGAAATCAATAGCAAATGTTAAATATCCTTGCAAAAAAGAAAGAGAGGAAAAAAGAATAAAAAAAAATCCTTTATTAACTGGATGTCATAAAAAACAGTTATTATATAAGAAATTTAGAAATACAATACATTTTTGATCACAAATTTCATGCTTTTTCTCTTAATTATTTAAAAAATATAAAAAAAAAAATGCATTAATGAAAAATTATTTGAATAAAACGCGTAAAAGTACACTATAGTAGGTCTTCATTAAGTGGGCACTTATAATTTCTTTTGAAATGGCAATTTTTTTTTTATTTTTTTGTGTTTTCTTTTGTTCCGACCAGCCAAATTCAATAAATACAACTAAAGCATGTACTAAAAAATAATATATGAAACATATTTAGCAATATACATATAAGAAAAACAAAAAAATTGTGTATTTGAAACCAAAAAATTTTCTTTTGTGAAAATATAAAAAGAAAAACAAAAAATAGAAAAAAAAAAATTCAAGTGACCTCTTGAAAAACAATTGGAACAATAAAAAATCGAACAATAATTTTGAGAAATGCCCTCATATGACGATAAAACGATTCGATTGGAACGCACCACTGTATACAAATTCGTACATTGTATATTATGTACAATTAAAAAATAAATAAGAATAAAAATTAAACAAAAAAAAAGGAAAAAAGAGTGAAAATAAAACGCGATCAAATTTTGTGCCCCGATACCAGCAAATTTTTTTTTTTAAAGAATAGCTGCTTGCATAAGAATATTTTTTATGTTCTTGTTTTTTTTTATATTTTGTGACATAATAATAATAATTGTATACTCATATAAATTAAAGAAGGTATGTTGTATATAACGAAAAGGGAGAATCTGCTGTTATTTTTTCATAAATATGTATATGGACCGAATAAGAAGCCCCTTTATGTACAATGTACAACAATAGCTGATTAATAGAAACGGATGTTATGTAAAATATTCTTTATGTACAAATACAGATTTGCAAGTACATTTACGTTATATGAATGAAATTTCATTGAATGAATATACAGTCACTTCATATTTAAAAAAAGAAGAGAACATAAATTAATTAATATCATTCTATTTTTGGTCCTAATTTAAAATCACTGTTTTCTTGGTATTATGTATATACTAATAGCATATTTCTATTTATTAATTGAAATTCACTAAAAATTGTTTTATTTAATTCGATCGCACACGATCGAAACATTTTTAAAACTTTCACGAATTAAGCCATTTCCGTTGTATGAATTTGTTAAAATATTTTTGTGAAATTTATCGGTTCGGAAAATATAGCATTTGATCTACAATTTTTATTCCGGAAAATTTTTTGATCAGGGGCGTTACTCTATAATTTGATTTCGATGAAACATTTTTCGTTTTTACAGAAAATGAAACGTACAAATTGTTTGGTCCAAATACGAAAATCTTTTTACGAAAGTCGAACTATATAAGGTCCCACACCAGTAGATAAAGAATTTAGAAAAAAAAATTAATACATATTAAATAATGTACCACGACGTCGCTGGTGGTCACGAAGAAAGCCTGTTAAAATTTTTTTTGACAACGACTGTATGTAAACACAATCACTTTTTTTATGTACATTTTGATTTCATTTGCGGATGTCATTCTAAAACATTTTTTTACACAAATAACGTATTATAGATTTTCGCGTACATACATAATTACATACATATATATAACTAAATAAAAAAAATCGAACAAAATGAAAAAAATTTATAGAAGAAAATGTCATTTTTGCATTCTTACCTTATATATTTGCGCATTACGTAAATGTATGTGATTTAATACAGAATTTTTGGTTATTTTGGTATATACTAGGGTTGTTTAATTTTTGCCTTCTTGTTTAACCAATCAACCGTCATTTGGATTCAGTTATAAAAAGTTTATGATTATATTGCCAAAACTTTTATTGTTAACATTATTTCTACATTTTTTTTTTTATTCCAACAGGAAAAAAAAATCTGTGTTTTTGTCCTTATTATACGTTTGGACCCATGTAATGAAAAATTCCAGAATGCTTTTTCATCCTTGCTTCGTTTAATTTTTGTCATATTGTTCACGTTGTCGCAGTTTACATTTTATTAATGAAATACAGAATTTATGCATAAGTTGAGTGTATACACGTACAAACATATGCGATTAATTTTGACGTTGTTTCCTTTGTAAACTTTTTTTTTTGCATGTTGCGATCATTTCATTGATTTTATTTGTAAGACATTTTTGTAATGAAACACTTGAAAAATTAATCAATTAAAAAACAAAATTCTTTATTAATTATTCGGAAGCTGAGATTTCTTTGGAATAATTTACAATAATGAGATTTTGTTTTTATGTTGTAATTTGGAACACAGTAATTCAATTTAAAAAAAAATTCCATTATTGTATTTAAAGCTTCCCGCAATTCTTTTATTTCATTCCAAATTTTTGAAACTAAAGTTTAGGACACGGTTTTTGTATATATTTTATTAAACTTTTATGATATGTTTGTATGCAATATTCAAACAATTTTCGCACTATTTCATAA